GTGTGTGTGAGTGTGTGTGTGTGTGTGTGTGTGAGTGAGTGAGTGTGAGTGTGTGTGTGGGTGTGTGTGTATGTGTGTGTGTGTGTATAGACATGTCACACAACACTGATAGTTTGCATGCATGTACAAGTTAACTGTTAAAAAAACAATAAAATCCTTCCTACAAATTACCATGTTACCATAATACAGTGGTGTGAAAAAGTGTTGGCCCCCTTCCTGATTTCACAGCAGTTTAAGTAACATTGTCACTTAAACAAAGAGAGAAATATTGTTCAGAACCATTTATTAAACTAACAGAGGTTGCAATAAATGTTATTTCAAGTATTAATTTTAAATTCGAAATGCACTGTATAAAACCAAATGTTTTGCATTACAAAAACAACAGAATTATTTATATCCTTTTTTAAATTTCATTTTTTTATCAACTTGTCAAAATTGCAAAGCACAATTTGCTATAATTTGAACTCAAAATAAGACTACATTAGATCTTACTGGAACCAGGTTTGTTTTTGTTAACTAAAATGAAAACTATTAAAAACATTTTTGGTAATTGAAATGAACTTGAAGCAGAATAAAATATAAATATTAGATTAAATGAAACTAAATTAAATAAGCTTACGCTGAAGCATTAAAATTACTAGCTGAAATAAAAACTAAAATAATAGAACTAAACCTGAAATAAAAATAAATTTAACCTAAATAGAAGTATAAAATAAAAAAATAAAAACACTAATAAAAACGACAAATGCCAAAATTTCAAAAAAAAAAAAAAAAAATGTTAAATAAATTTTAAAAAGCTACGAAAACAGGATTCTATTAGGATTGGTACAAAATTATGATTGAAATTCCATTAGCATTCCTTTAGGATTTTTTGTCACTCCAGTTACACATGAAAATCAGAGTCCATTGAGTGTCTGTCTGTGATACAGCAGCGCTGGACCCCAGATGATGCTTCAGGTCAGAGGTCAGAGGTCATGCCCAGACTGCATCCCTCAGCACAGACGCTCTCCATGCGGATCAGATCCACCATCAGCTTAAGATGGATTATCAAAGAACCCCAAGCATGTTTATCCAAAGTCAGGAGAGCATACTTGAAATTCCCTTTCTCATGAATTATATATCAAAAGGATTCAGGTTTTTTTTGTCCACCATTTACATACAAAAGTCTCAGTATAGTGATTGAAGAACATGACTATTAACCCCGTAAAGCCTGACATATTAAATAATAATCAGAGAAATCATTTTTTTAATATTCAGACAAAATATCATAAAAAGTGTTTTTTGTTGAGTAGCCAATCATATTTGATCATCAGGTTTTTATGCCTCATATAGTCTGATATAGTGAAAATATGGAGGAAAAACAGCTCAATTTTATTCAGAGACTCAAACTGAGCAAAAATATGAATTTGGTGCAGATGCTGATATTTCTATGATGAAATTCTGATGCTTGTAAATCAGTGAGATCTTTATAACAGTGCAGCAGATACTGACATAAAATG